TTGTTGCTAAGTACCGTGGAGTCAGTTCTGACTCATAGGGACCCTGTACAGGGTTTCCGATGCTGTAAATCTTTATGGGAGCAGAACATCTTTCTCCCGTGGAACCACTGGTAGTTTCAAACTGCTAACTTTGAGGTTGGCAGCCGGACTCGTAAACAACTATGCTACCAGAGCTCCTTTGTGTTGTTGTTGTTGTTATGTTCCGTGGAGTCAGTTCCGACTCACAGCGACCCTGTACAGGGTTTCTGAGACTGTAAATCTTTATGGGAGTAGAAAGCCTCATCTTTTTCCCACAGAACAGCTGGTAGTTTTGAACTGCTGACCTTAAGGTTCGCAGCCCGATTCATAACCACTATGCTACCAGAGTTCCTTTCCAGTCATTTATTTTGTCTTCTACTCTTTGTGTGTTCTCAGTAATATTTGACTGTGTTAAATATAGTTTTGTCTGAGTTAATTTCATGAATGTACTATCCTTTCAATAAAGATGCACTAAGTTGAAAATCTAATTGACAGAAACGCATAGCCGATACTTCTCTTTATTATTTCTGGAATAACTCCCCAAGTTTCACATAAGAACTTAGGAATAAGATTTCATACTCTGGATTCTTCTTTCTTTCTACTACTACACATGCTACCCAAGATGTTTCCTTGAAGAATCTACATCTATAAGGAATATCACCTTATTTAATCTACATTTTAAGAATATCATTCTGTCTTGATATCCCACCTCATTTTAGTCCATCCAACCAAAAACAATGTTATCACTCAACATGAAAAATGCTGTATCTTCTCAACTAAATTGTTAGTCTACTGAGAATAGGGTACAGCCCATTTTATCTTTTACTTCTTTGAATTTCTAATGTTTACAACAATGCCATATATGTAATAAAACTCAAAGCCAAACCCACTGCCATCAACTGGATTCCAACCTTATAAAGGGTTCTGAGCCTGTACATCTTTACCAGAGAATACAGCCACATCTTTCTCCCAGAGCTGCTGATTGGTTTGAACTGCCAACCTTGTGGTTAGCAGACCAGTGCTTATCCTATAGCACTATCAGAGCTCCTTTCTATATGTAATAGTAGTAAGATAAGCACTCAACTACCAAATGCAAGGTCAGTGATTCAAACCTACTAGACACTCCTCAGAAACCCTATACAGAGTCACTATGAGTCAAAACCAACTCGAAGATACCTAACAACAACAACAAGTTGTTCAATAAAATATTTAATTAAGAAATTCAATTCTACTCTTAAAGGGTCATTTCTTCTTGTTGTTTAATTATAGTTGGTGTTCCATATGAAACAGAAAAAACATAAGGAAACAATATTTAAGTAGTATACTTTTAACAAATACTTTTAAAATTAATTGATTTCATAATTGGCAGTAGAAATATAGTCTATTTCCTTTTGTGCTTTTCAGATTTAAATGAAAATGAATTCTTCTCATAGAATTTAAGAGGTGTTTATTTATATAATGTTGCTGTTGTTGTTAAGTGTTATCAAGTCATTTACTACTCATAGAAATCCTGTATAGGGCTTATAAGGAGAGGTTGGTGGCTTTGAACTGCCAACCTTCCAGATAGCAGTCCAGTACTTATCTTACAGCACCACACCAGGACCACTTATCTATATAATTGTTATTGTTGTTAAGTGCCTTAGAGTTGGTTCTGACTCATAGCAAACCTGTAGAGGATTTCCAAGGAGCAGCTGGTGGGCTTGAAGCATAGAATAAGTCCAGTGCTTATTGTACAGTGCCATACCAGGACTCTGATTCATATAATATTGTTAAGTGCCATCAAGTCAGTTCCAATGCACAGCGACCTTGTATAGGGTTTCCAATAGTGTGTTGTAAATAATAGTGAGGATTTAAATATTTTGTCCAAATTTCCACAAAATATAATCTGGATTTAAATATTCTGTCTAAATTTCCCCCAACTATGATAATTTTAGGAGTCCTGATATGGCGCTATAGGATAAGTACACGATTGCAAGGTTGGTGTAAACCACAAGGTTAGTGATTCAAACACACCAGCTGCTCCCTGGAAACCCAATATAGTGTCGCTATGAGTCAGAACCAACTTAATGGCATTTAACAGCAACAACAATTTGTGACTGCCCTTCTATATAACTCCTAATATATGTCTTTAAACTTTCATATTCTAGATTTTGTAAAAGGGATATTGTTTCTATTGTCAGTCAAGGGATTACAAAAAACAGTTAAAACTTCAAAGGTAATATAGTCAAATGGAAGCAATCTATGCTTTGGAATATTTGCCCCTAAAGTGTGTATGTAGAAAACAAAGGTAAATTAAGCAAAAATGGTTCTTACAAGGTAGAAATTTTTATTTTACTAGAAATTATATATCGTCTTAGACAAAACAAGTATTTTCATTATTGCTAATACTTTCACTGAAAATCCAGTTTAAACTCAATTCTTCGGTGAAGGTAAAATTTGGTATACACACACCCACTCATGTATATAATGTTGTTGTTAAGTGCCGTTGAGTCGGTTCTGACCCATAGCAACCCTGTATGGGTTTTCAAGGAGTACTGGTGAGCTTGAACAGTCGACCTTGCAGTTCAAACCAACTTTGCAGTACAGTGTATTTACCCAAAGCGCTATATCATCAAAGTTTAAGAGAAGCTAAAAAGAATTAAGTGAAATAAACTAATACTAACCCATTTTGCAGTAGTGACTTGGAATAAGAAGGTTAAAATAACAGAAGACATATTGTGTGGTTAAAAAGTTGAATAAGATGTAACAAGAAACCAAAAACAGATTGGTGAAGTGTAAAGTTAGGGAGAAATTTGGAAAGATTAAAACTAAAAGAAACACCTGAATCAAATAAAGAAACCCTGGTGTCAAGCTGTAAGATAAGCACTGGACTTCTAACTGCAAGGTCAGCAGTTCAAACTTACCAGCTACTTCTTGGAAACTGATTCGATGGCATTTAACAACAAATCAAATAAAAAGTCTTTTAAAAAATTATAAAAATGTGTTTTCTATGTTATTTTTTGCCCAGCCTTTTGAAATCTTTTCATTCAAGAACCAAGAGGTCTGAAAAAAATTATACAGTGCTTTTGTTATTTTTTAATGAAATATACAACATTGATAACTGTTCTCATGAAATTATTGTAATTTTACTGATTTACATAAATGACACTCTGATTTATAAAACTTGATACAGAAAGGAAGCATTAAAGTATATAGAAATAAAACAGATAAGAAATTATAGAAATGTTAGATTAATACACTAATGCCTAACTACATTCAACACATAAATCATGAATCTACTATGACAAGACCAATAAATACACTGACTCTGAAAGACACTGCTAATTTCCAGTAAAAGTTTAGTGGGTATCCATGACTTCTGAGAAAAACTGTATGATGCAAGCATGGTAGAGCCTCCATAGCACAAAGCCAAGTGGAGCTACAGTTTTATGCTATCAGTTCTAAAGTTAAGTTTAGATTGAAGGGATGAGTTGGTGACTTCTAGAAGTCCCCAAGAACCTGGTGTTGGGAAGTGTCCTCTGTCAAAGTAACAGTGTTCTTTAAACACTACAAGTATATTGACCTTATGCTGCAGCAAGAACTTTTGGATACCAGACCAGGAGTTGAGATCTCCATATTAGACACCCAAAGTCAGTTTAAAACACTAAGATGAGACAATAAAAACAATTTGAAAAAAAAAAAAAATAGGTATTATGGTAAAATAGATCACAAATCAATTTCATTATAGCTAAAAACTCCCTAATAATATTACGTCTAGATCACACACCCAGGGATTTGGATTTAATAGAACTTATATTTCAGAATAAGGAACCCTGATAGTGTAGTGTATTATGAGCTGGACTACTAAATACCAGGCCAGCAGTTCGAATCTACCAGTCGCTCCAAGGAAGAAGGATGAGGCTTTCTGTTCTTGTAAAGATTTACAGCCTCGGAAACCCTAGACAGGGTCGCTATGACTCAGAGGCACACAACCACCACCACCACATTTCAGATTCATGGGTAAAACAACTATCTTGACAAACACAAATTAGGAACAATCTAGTTCTGCTACATTGTTTGATGAAATTTTTTTCACAGTGACCGGAAAGCAGCACCAGAGATTATATAAAATGAAAATACTCATAGAGGAATTTGAAAAGAGAATTGTTGAAAGGGACATGCATCAAACAAATCAAGAAGCAGTGTTGAGGTAATCTGTATGTACCTATAAACTCAAGAAAGAGCTTTTCCTGGTCATTTGCAATTAATTACAAAGAATAGAGTCTGAAATCATCTGGATTATAACCTACATCTCACTCAGACATATAAGTATAATATTTATTTGGCAAATTCATGTATTGGTGAATGTTTCCCTACTTCGTGTATTCCTGATTACATTGCCCTCCTCAGTCTTTGAATGTTACCTAATGAAAGGGGGAGGAAGCAGAGGAAGCAGGCCTTTCTGTATCTGGCAGCTGTCTAAATAGGAAGTAGTATTTCTTCAAAGGACAGCATCAGGCAAAGGTCTTGGTGAGGACATCTTCTTGCTGTTGCAGGTGAACAGTGCCAATTCCTACAGCGGGTGTTGGCAAAGGGGGTCGGCTCACAAGACGGAGCTATAATTGGAGCAGGAAAGAAATGACATTTTGACTAGATCAGAGCTTGGTTTAGCTCACCCAAAGAGGTGCATATATCTTTCATTGCTTATCTAAACAGAAGACAATTTGGGGAGTGGGGGAGAAACAATGTATTACATAGACTAAACTGGAGGGAAACACATGTCACCAAAACCAAAAACTAACTAAATCCCTAGCATGAAAAGGAGCAATCACTTCCTGACTTTGTTCTAGTCTTAAAATAACAGTTGGTTTTAGCTGTGAACTTCTTTTCACTACAACTGCTTATATGTGATAATGATTTGAGCCTAGGAAACAAGTATCAAATAAGTGAGCTGAGTTTTAATGGAAGCAGAACAGAAAGATAAACAGAAGGACTGTTATTCTTCTCTTTGTTTTTTCCTTCCTGAAGTACAATGAGAAAGACTGTGACCTTGGATGTGCACAAGCTTTGTAGACAGGACTGGAAAGAGTACCTTACTGTCTCTTGTCCCATATTAAAAAACAAACCTGCTCGCCACCCTGACCCTCCAGAGTTTACGTGTTGTCCTTTTGGTCAAGACATGTGAGCTAGTTAGTGGGAAGGTATCATACAGGTAAGCAGTTTTAAGGTTTTTTTTTACATATAACAAATTTTCAAATATGATATTAGTATGTAAATGTATAGCATGATCAACAACTCAGCGTCTTATGTTGAAGGAATAGCCTAAAGCTAGATTTTATATTTTAGTTTATCTTTAAAGAATTTGATTGGTAATGGGGATAGATTGACTTGTTAGTAGTCTAGAGGAAACAGCACACATACAACACTATAAAAGCGAGTGAGTGAATGACTAAGTGAGATAGAAACATTACCTTGCAGGCCAGTTGTTTTTCAAACCTTGGAGAAACAAAAAACCATGGACCCATGTTCTGAGGCTCCTCCTGACTCCAAATAAAATCTACAAAAAAAAAAAAAGAATGCTCATTTCAGCACCTCAAGCAAATCCAGGCTTTAAGTAAACATATACTTTAAATACGCAGATACATATGTAGCCACATACAAATATGCAGATACATATGTAGCACCTCAATAAATACATTCCTTTCCAAAATAGCACTGTCACTTGTCTTTTTTAATTTTTAATACATAGTCTTATGTCCACCACTATAACCAGGACACAGAAGAGTTCAACCAACCTCAAAAAGTCCCCCATTCTATCCTTTGTAGTCAATTTCTCCTCCTACCCCCAAACTCTGCCAGCTAATCACAGAGCTTTTCTGTATTTTCCCTGCAGTTCTGCATGGACAAGAATGTCATATAAATGAATTATACAGTATGCAGCCTTTTGGGTCTGTTTTCCATGATCTAGCCAAACATTGTTGGGATTCAAACATGTTGTTGTGTAAAGCAATAGTTCACTCCTTTTTATTGTTGAGTGTTATGTCATTGTATAGGGGTACCACAGACTGTTGATTAATGCACCAGTTGAAGGATATTTTGGTTCTTTCTAGTCTGGGGCAATGTAGAATAAAGCTACTTAGCAATGTGTTTAAAAATGTGAGAAAGGATAAAAGCTTATTAAGATGCATCCTCTTAGTTTCATCCTTCCTATGATACATAGGTAGACAGGCTCTGATTTCCTTCCTTCTGTACCATGTCGGAGGGGTAGCAGGAAGCCTGGTCATTTCCTCAGCACAACGATTATTCTTATGCCTTGAAAGATTGACTCAGCCTTCCATCTATCAGACCAATGTGATGCCCAGTTCCTGGCTTTGTGAACTACTCCCTTAGAGGGTAACAAGAATTTCTTGAAACCAAGTTAGTTCAAGGTTGATTTTAAACATTTCAATGTGCCATATAGCTCTTACTCTTTTTTTGGTGGACTTATTTTTCCCATGGGGTATGAAGAAAGGGCAAAGGTGGTCCCCTAATCAAATGGACTTTAGGTTTGCAATCCTAAAAAGATTTAAAGTCATTGTTGTAATTCTGTTGTCTATATAAACCTTGCCTTTGTTGGGAGATAGCTGAGGGCAACAGTAATAGCCAAGGTCCAGATGGACTAGTGTGAAGTTACTCTGTGAGTGATGATTTTATGATACATCCTGGTGTGGCGCTGTGGATTAATGCACTGGACTGTAAAGTCAGTTTGAACTGTAAGGTTGATGGTTCAATCTCACTAGTCGCTGCTCAGAAACCCTATACAGGTTCACTATGGGTCAGAACCATCTCAACGGTACTCAACAACAACAACATATACAAATTAAAGAGACGTTAGTTTGTTTCTTGAGATGCCCTTTTAGCTGAATGCTACCACTTTTCCTTCCCCAGAGCTAGAGAGAAAATGGACTCTTTTTTTGACTTAACCATATTCTCTCTGCATTCTACACTTCCTGTGTGAGCCTAAGAGTGTTTCTATTAGTCTCTGAGGAAACACTAAGCTTAGATTGAGGCAGCCCAGTTTGCTGGTAAGAAGCATTGAGTACCTTCTTGAGCATAGATCTTCTAGTTCTGCCCACATGCCTCTACCCTGGAACTTCATTTTACCTGAAACTGTGCCTCTGGTCCTTCAACCAGCTATTAGAACATATCACCTACCACTTCTCAGTTAGAGCAAAGAACCAGCTGAAATGATACATGCTGTGTAATCAAACACCTCCTAGTCAAGTACAGCTGATGTATCTCACTGTTGCCTTATCATTTTCTGAGAGATCTTCGATGCTGATCTTGTAAAGAACTTACTGGTTAGTAGCAAAACTCCTTTTAAACTCAGAACTTATTTGTGGTTGTTATTCAATATCCTTATTTCTAGATTTGCACAGACACTATCAACTAATAATTTGGCATGTGAGCCAACTTGGCGTTGAATATATTGGACATAATATGCAAATTAGTATTATTTTGGATAACCACATATTATGTCACTAGTGAGTTAGTGAAACACAGAAGCTAATTCTTCGTATGTAATTTAACACTTTAGAATGTTCTTTTTGTTCCTTTTGTTGTGTGTTCAAGTCTATACCTAACTATGCCATAAAAACTAAAAGTTTGTTCCATCTAAGTTCCTTCCTCAATTTTCTGTGTCTCTATACTTCCCCGTCCCAACCCACCCCAAGTGTTAAAACCACTTTTCATCTTTGAAGTCACTGAAGCACTGGACTTGACTACAGTGGTAACCTTTAAGGGGCTTTTTGAACAGCTTATCTTCTAAGAAGAAAGGGACTAGACAGTATTGCTTAAGATGCTAAGATGCTGCAGTTGTG